TGTGCAGCGCCCCCTCGGGGAAACTCGAGGTTTGGTTTTAGTTGTACGGATTGCTCATCTGAGTGTGCCCTGAGAAAGAGATATGTGCAGCTCCTATCGGGATTTGTCGGCACATTCGGGCGGTGTTGCTGGTTTAGTTTTACCCTGTCGAAATGTCTTGTTGTACCGGGATACCGAGTCTGATCGGGACGTCTCGGGTGGAGGTCTATTCCTTCGTTGACCGTGAGAGCTTGTGATGGGCTAAGTTGGGACACCCCTGCAGGGTATTATCTTTCGAAAGCCGTGCCCGCGGTTATGGGCAGATGGGAATTTGTTAACGTCCGGTTGTAGAAAACCCGAAGTTGACCTTATTTAAAATACATCAACCGCGTGTGTAACCGTGATGGTCTCTTCTCGGCGGAGTCCGGGAAGTGAACACGGTGTTGGAGTTATGCTTGACGTAGGTTGCTATAGGATCACTTCTTGATCATACTTTTATCGACCGTGCTTTGCCCTCTCTTCTCGCTCTCTTTTGCGATTGTAGCCACCATATATGCTAGTCGCTTGCTGCAACTCCACCTCATTACTCCATCCTTCCTATAAGCTTAAATAGTCTTGATCTCGCGGGTGCGAGATTGCTGAGTCCCCGTGGCTCACAGATACTTCCAAAACCAGTTTGCAGGTGCCTATGTTACCGTGCAGGTGACGCAACCAAGCTCAAGGAGGAGCTCGATGAAGATCTTGCCCTTTGTGTTGTTTCGTTCTAAGTTGATCAGTAGTGGAGCCCAGTTGGGGTCGATCGGGGACCTTTGTCGCATTTGGGGTTCTTCTTTTATTTTGGTTCCGTAGTCGGACCTTGATTGTATCTGGATGATGTAATGCTTTATTCATGTAATTGTGTGAAGTGGCGATTGTAAGCCAACTATGTATCTCTTTCCCCTATGTATTACATGGGTTGTGTGAAGATTACCTCACTTGTGACATTGCTTTCAATGCGGTTATGCCTCTAAGTCGTGCTTCGACACGTGGGAGATATAGCCGCATCGAGGGCGTTACAAACCCCTCGCAAGCTGCTGGTTTTCTGCATGGGAGGCGGTGGTGCTGCATAGCAGCCACCTCACAGCCGAGCCTCCGCTCCCCCCTGTCGAGGTCAATGCTCATGACGATGCAGCATCACCATGGATGTGCCCACACAGCTTTGCTTTTTCTTTTACGGAGTGCTGCAACCGGTCAAGAGAGATGCTACATCCGCCGTGAGGGATGCTACAACCCATAAACTTTTTTGCTGGAACCAACTACTGTAATTGTCGTTGATTCTTTTTTTGCTGGACCAGTGTTTTGTTTTGCTATCACCGGCGACATGGTTTGCTACCACCATACGCAGCGACCGGCCGACGTCAAATTTTTTCTTGCTACAACCGTGTCATATTTTTGCTGCAACTGGCAGCCACAAAAGATACAATCGGTTAACATTTTTGCTACAATGGCGACGACCGGGGGCGCTGGCGAGCTTTTAATTTGCTGGAACCGTTACCCTTTTTTGCTACAACCGTTCGTTCTTTTTGCTGCTACCGACACGCCGACGGAGAGTACAGTTTCTTGCGAGCTCATCTTCGGAGGTGCTGCGACCTGCAACCATCGCACACCGGAGCTGCGTCCGCCATCACCGGAGCTGCGACCGTCGTCACGGGGAGCTGCAACTATGGGGACATGCTGCTGCATGCACGGAGCCGACGAGAAACACATGAGATGAAGGCGGCGAAAGGCAGCGACCAGCAGTGAGAGCGGCCACCGGCGGCATGGGCGGCAACCAGCGAGACCCGCCAGGCGGTGCTTCTAGGCCGGGCGAGGAACGTTTGTGTTTTGCGGTCAGCGTGCATGAGCTTAACAATGATGCAATAGTGGAGCGATGGAAAAGCTGAGAGGCAGCGACGCCGGCGACCTACAGTAGCGCCGGCGACCAGCAGCGATGACGGCAACCAGCGGCCGACAGCGACAACGGCGACCGGCGGCGAGGGCAGCGACAGGAGAGCGCACGCAGGAGCTGCTTCGTGGCGGGGCGATGGAAGCATTTTTTTTTCTAAAAAGAAGAAGATGGCTGACGGAAGAAGAGGTAATCGTGCGGCTAGGCGCTGTATGATCGTACGGATGGGGTGCGTCCGGCCGAATGATTGCGCCGGTGCGCCGGCGCAGAATAGTGGCCTAAAAAAAACCATGATGGCAAAGTATTTGGGCTCCCCTTCGGCCTGGCCGGATCAACATATGGTTTGGTATTTCTGTACTAGGTTTATACATCCACTAACCATGCGAGCAACGAACCAAGAGGCACACAAATATATTTTATAAAATTATGTATTTTAAAAAAATAGTATTTGAATGGCGCTAACCATCCGATTTGTGCTATTAAATTTGTGCCAAATTAACACTTATCCCCTCTCCGGGTCTATACCTAGTCTTGTCATTTCTGGCAGTGGCACCAGTAACGTCCCCTCTTTTTATATAGGTTTTGCAGCTATGAAATATTTATTTAGCTAGGAGACTATGAAATCACATTATATATCCTTGTGCTCATTCACATAAAACATATTCGATTTGAAAAGACATGGATATTTGTTTTAGAGCGGGTCATAGAATCTTGGGGTACATGCTTGAGTTCCAAAAGCAGGAGTTTTACAGATATAAGATGCAAAACACCACACTCTTTTCATATTTGAGAAACAAATGTCATGAAATTAAGACTGTCCATATATCGTTGAGTTGTGTGTGATTTTCTGTAGTCGGTTTCTAATTTCTTTGGGCAGTTTTAATTATCTGTCCAAAAATTGAGTTATAAAAAGTAAACCGGACATCTAAATAAACTAAATTTTAACAGCTCACTCGGCGAATTATGTGGCTTTTGTAATTTGATGAGTTACAGCTTGACAAATGCATAATATTTCCTATACTGTTTTGACAAATCAGCTGAATATATGAACAGTTCACACGATGGGTTATGTGTGGTTTTCTGATAGTTTTCGATAGGTTTGGCAAAGGCTTGCCAACATTATTTGAATCAACATTCTCAAACATAAATTAGTTGATGTGACTGTGCAATTAATAAGCTCGTTTAAAGCAGAACAATGGCCAGGTCTGTGAAAATTGCATTTATACACATCCTTGTGCTCAGTCACAGAAACCCTATTCAGTTCATGTTTAAGTTCCAAAGCACAAGTATTTACTTATAAAGAAACAAAATTCAGAGTATTCTAGGAAAGGTCAATTAAATTCTGCTCGTACATCTTCTTTACACTTGTGTGTATGCAGCTATAATAATGAACGAAAAAGAAGAAGAGACATGACCAAACTGTCTGTTCAATCTCTCAGCTGTCAAAGGACTATTGTCAAAACCATTTACTTCCACCTCCTGTTACTAGTTTCTTGATCTGGTCACCAGTGAGAGTCTCATCCTTCAGGAGGGCGTTGGCTAGCGCATCAAGCTCCTTCCTACGATCCGTGAGAATCGCTTTGGCGTTCTTGTAAGCGTTGTCCAGTAAATCTTTCACCTCCTCGTCAACCAGTTCTGACATCCGCCCGCTCATGTTCGTCGCCTTGCCACCGCTAGCATCACCGCCATTGCCATAGGTAACAAAGCCCACCCGCTTGCCCATGCCATACTTGGTGACCATGTCGGTCGCCAGCTGAGTCGCCTCGCTTAGATCAGTTGAGGGACCAGTGGTGACCCCGCCTTCTCCGGCTATAAGCTCCTCGGCCACCCGCCCGCCCATCATGACATCCAGAGTCGCCAGCATCTGCTTCCTCGAGAGTTCAAACTCGGCATCTTCCCCCGGCAGCTGCATCACCATGCCAAGAGCACCCACCCTTGGAACAATGGTGGCCTTGTCGACAGCGTCAGCACCGTCCGTGAAGATAGCAACAAGAGCGTGCCCTCCTTCATGGTACGCGGTCATCTTCCTGGAATGATCAGGTATCACCGCTGACTTGCGCTCGCTTCCCATCATGATCCTGTCCTTGGCATACTCTAGGTGATGCATCGTAACAGCTTTCGCCCCGTCCTTGGCAGCGGTGAGGGCGGCCTCATTCACCAGGTTTGCAAGGTCTGCACCTGAGAGCCCAGGTGTCCCCGTAGCGATTGTCAACACATCCACACCCTTGGCTTTCACCTGCTTGCATGGAAAAGTACACAGAAATGGTCAAAGTTAAGTCTTATGTTATACTCCCTCCCTTCGTAAAGAAATATAAGAGTAAACGCTCTTATATTTCTTTACAGAGGGGGTAGATCGCAAATAGTTTTGGGGGCAGAGGGATATGCCACCTTTGAGATATAAGACTCGAGGATCTGCCGTCGGCCCTCGACATCTGGAAGAGGAACCAGGACATGACGGTCAAAACGCCCAGGCCTGACGAGGGCTTTATCTAGCGACTCCTTGAAGTTGGTCGCGGCGATCACAATGACCCCATCATTCTGCTTGAAGCCATCCATCTCAGAAAGCAACTGGTTCAGGGTATGCCTCATCCACATTGGATCTTCTGTATTTCTAGGACCAGCAATGGCATCGATTTCGTCGATGAATATTATGGAAGGGGCGCGCTTCTTTGCTTCACTGAAGAGCTCCCGCACTCTTTTAGAGGCAACACCATAATACTTGTCCTCGAACTCGCTGCCGCTGCACGCGAAGAACGGGACGCCGGTTTCCCCGGCCAACGCCCTCGCTAACATGGTCTTCCCTGTGCCAGGTGGGCCCACGAGCAGAACACCCTTTGGAAGCTTGGCACCAAGGCGCGTGAAACGCTGCAAAGCAATCATGTGAAACTGGGTTAACCACGAGGAAAGAAACGATCGCTGACTTGCATGAAGGTTGATGATGGCAGTGTCACAGTCACACTCACCTTGGGATCTCGTAGGTAGTGAGCAATGTCCTCGAGGTCAGCTTTGGCTTCGTCAGCCCCCTTTACATCACGGAATTTCGTGGTGGTCGAGGTTACCTCTTTCAAACTGCCAAAATTACCAGCTTTTGTTTTCTGACCACTGAACTTACCACCTGCTTCTTCGACACCACTGTACTCGTCTTCCAGTTCGCCCAAGAGCTCAGACGGAATCTTGCCGGCAAAGACTACAAGGCCCTGATCAGCAGCCTCAGTTACCTTCTCAGACACCTTGTCACCAAGAGCCTTACCGCCATAGGTCGCAAGGCCAGTAGCTAGACCGGCAGCAACGATGGTCCCGAAGGTGGGCCAGAGCAGTTTCCATATCTTGCCCTTCTCCATCGTAACCATGTGGAGCGGTGCAGTAGCTGTGCCCAGAGCACCATCCTTCGACAGGAGCTGGCTACCCTCCACCCCTGCCAAATCAGTTAGCAGAAATAAGTTGTAAACAGATCGCATATCATCCAATAATGATAAATTGGTGAATGTTAAAGAGAAACTGAGGCCACCTACCTTGAGTTTGCATCTCGAGGCTGACGAGGGCCTTTACATACTCTGAGAGAGCTGAAGGTTTGGAATAGAGCGAAGGCTGGCTTTCGAAGTTGTATATAACTCTTTCTAAATCACTGCTGTTGAGGTCTGTGAGACGAGAAGCAGCGCCAGAGTGCAGGCCCCTTCTGTTCAGGTGTGTGAGACAAGAAGCGGCACCAGAATGCAGGCCCATTCTGTTGAGGTCTCTGAGACGAGAAGCAGCACCAGAGTGCAGGCGACGAACAATGCTACCTGGATTAGTTAGCATCCGCAGAGCTGATCAGTTTACAGAAAGGAGATTTAACTAGTTCCTCCATGGTACGTAAGAATCAAACCACGACGAGTAAATCGGAACGGAGGGAGTACCAACAAGTCATATGTAGATTATAATGAGATGTTTGTATGATCAACAACAGGATACTGGGCACAACAAACCGAACAGCGTGCGAGCAACGGAGATTTACCTGCGCCGGTAGCTGCATTTGCCCTGAAAGAAGCCGGCGCGTTGCAAATCACACGCGCCAGCCCACGCCTTGCCAGATGCATTGCAGCCTGTGACACAAAAACCAACGAGGGTTAAGCAGCATTCAGCAAAGCAAACGTTGAATTCAACAGCTCCGGGAGCCGACATGGTCCTGAAATGGCAACCCGTAAACTAGTGCCATCAGTCTAAAACGTCGCTCGCAGTTGCAGTTTCAGAAACAGGGTCACACCGGGGAAAGGAAGAAGTAGAGTAGAAGACCTTGGATTGGGCGAGCCGGAGGGCCATGACGGACGCCGGACGCCGAAAAGAATCGCTCGAAACCTTGTCGTTGCTCGGCGGCGAGAGCGAGACGATGCCTGCCCCTCTGCTTTTCTCTGCCTCGTGACTAGACTACCTACCTGCCTGCAGTATATAACTGCGTGTCTGCGTCGATGGATCATGGCCGGGATCTGTAGCTGACTCTACCTACCTGCCATGGCTGTGTCGCAGTCGGAGTAGAGTAGCAATCGGAGCCGCCAAGAACCGACGGGAAGTGAACAAGCAGGTTTCCGGCCGGACTGGATCCAGAGAAGGATTCTTGAACCAAATCGAATCGAACTCCGACACTCAAACCATCAAATTAGCCACCCGGATTTCAACGGAGGGCTTCGATTCGAGATGAACATTGCGGCGACTATGTGGGGGAAGAAAGTGTCACCTTGTTCGGGCCTCACCGCGCCGCCGCCCCCCAAATCGGCGGCGGCCGGATCTGGGATGGTCCGGCCGGGCGGCGGCTCCCTGCATGCCGTCCGCGAAAAGTGCCCCGCCGCTCATCGACCGCGCTCTCCGCCGGCTCGGCTGCGGGCATGGACCTCGTCTCGTGCGCATGGCGGGCTCGAGGCGGAGGGAAGAGGGATGGCACCCCACCTGAACTTCTGAATCACTGAAACAAGTATTCTGAATGGATGAACACTGAAATTTGTTTTTGTAGGCCATCATTGACAACTCAATCTCTTAACATCAACTGTCTACAACAAAATATTTCATATATCACATATACATATTGCTAGATACTCCCTCCGTCCGAAAATACTTGTCATCAAAATGAATAAAAGGAAATGTATCTAGACGTATTTTAGTTTTAGATACATCCTTTTTTATCCATTTTGATGACAAGTATTTTCGGATGGAGGGAGTACTGTATAATGGAAAGGCTTTGGCATTGCAACGGTTCGGTACTTCTTAGTACATATCCTTACATAAATTAAAAAGTGCAACCAAATTTTTTAGGTGTCGAACACTTGTTTCTTCTATGTCCACTCTTGGCGCATCGTGAGCAAAGCTCATTGGAGCCTCTGGGCCTCCGTCTCAACAGAGCAAACTTGTTAAAACTCGCGAGCTTGTAGAAACATCAGCCGTGAAGTTGTCGATATAGACTAGAAGACGCCGATCGCGATCTGCATAGAAAATCATGGCCCTAAGAAGAAAAGGACGGAGAGTACATGTAGAACACCTCGACATCCTACCATATAGAGTGGGGGGAACACAAATCTCACACACTCCCCGATAAGACCGAGGCTAGCCAACGTTTGTCTGTTGGAATTGGAACAGAATGGCCAAGACACACAACCGCATTGTCCGCTCTGCAAGAATCGCCATCGAGACAAATCTACATAAGAAAAAGGCAGACTCGGAGAACCATATCTAGAGACACACTATCATCCACACGCCTCCCACCGATACGAAGAAACACCACTTCGAGATGACAAGTACTTGAGATGCATGCTGGATAACGGTTTTGGAATGGAGTATTAGTTGTAGATGCAGTTTGATTAACGGTCTAGGTATCACTAACGTAATGCCGACGCAAGATTATGCCATGAATGGTCATAGTCATAAATTTAAATATTGCAATTTAATCGCTGGGCAATTGTAATTTGTTTGCCACACCATATGTATCCGCTTAGAGAGATGCATCTAGTGACCCTATGCCCCCGGGGTCTATCTTCCTTTACTCGATACAACTGTTACAATTGCTTTTCTTTGTTATACCTTTTAAAAAAAATTATCTATCTATCAATTTCTATCATACCATACAATTTATCCTTGTAACCAACAGGACAAGAAGGTTGACAACTTTCTTGAAGCATTGGGAGCAAGAGTTTTTTGTGTGCAGGTACCGGCGATTTTGGTTGTCGTGGAAGCCTCTATTAAACCTTTGTTCTCAATTGAGTGAAATACCTATTGCTACTTTACTTCACCCGTGCACTTAGGGGTTACCCAACCACTCTCCCGAGAGAGCAAGCAAAGACAGACCCTAATGTCATCTATGTGAGCCTCTGAAGTTTGTGGGGTGTGGGTTCTTCGGCTTGCGTACATAGAGGGGGCTCAAAATCGGTGAAGAATTTGATGATGTCATAGATGCATAACTATGTGAGGAGGCAATACCTAGGGAGAGGCCATGTGCATGAGAAGGTAAGGATGAGTTAGAGGAGAGAAACTTGGGGCAACCATATATTTGGAATGAGCGGAGGTCTTGGAGCAAACAGGCAAGTAGGTTCAGGTCTCGATAATGCAAGATTCCAGTTTCTGTAGATGAGGATATGAGAGCAAAAGTTCACCCTCTTGTTGCCCTCGTTCCTCCTCTCATCTTGTCATCTGCTGCTGCTCCACCACACAAACCATTCCACTGAGAAATGTTGCCAACTCATTGTGATCTTGGAAATGTGAGAGCAATTGTGTCAGTTCCTTGTCACCGGCACCATAATACAAAATCACGAGACGTTCAACTGGTAAATTGTATATGACATCACTTTCATTGTTAGTCGACAACATGACATTACTATCACTCAAATTTGGTGCACAAAGGAACTTGAGAGATGTTAACTTATGGAGGTAATCTGGTGTGGTAGAGGAGGCAACTAGTGATGTGCAACTCATTTAGATCACCTAGATTAGAAAACACAAAACATGCATCTTCACCACCCTCCCTAGTGATCCACAAGCTTAATTTCGACATGTGTTTTTTTGTAATTCAGTTCTTCCAAACCAGATCCTGCTTGCTCTATCTTAGCAGAGAATGGAGTAGGATTCCAAGTGACGGGTGACAATGACACCAGTTTCGCGTAATTTATAATTGGTACTTTCCTAAACATATCATATTTTTTTATTATTCATGCCACTATCTTATATTTTTATGCAAAGATTTATATTTATTTGGACTAACCTACTAATGATTGCAAGACATGCACAAGTTCTTGTTTTTCCCTTTTGTGTGTAGGGAGCTCATGGAAATTGGATGAAATGTCAAAAAACTTTAAGGTCCCGCGAAATTTGGAGTTGTTCCACTCGAACTCCTGCAATCTAGGAAACCAAGTCACGACAGCCTCTTGCTCGCATTGACAGTGTGTAGATGGAAGCTCCATGAGTTTAGAGCAGTCTTTAACAATGAACACTTTAGCTAAGAGAAAAATGACAACTGCTATTTTCAACTCGTTTTCTCAACCTTGGAATCTTAACTAAAACTAACTCTGATATTTTTATGATGTTCAAAGCTTTGACATGGGCTGCAATTAATGCTCTTCATCAACAAACAAAAATCTTGTAGAGTGGAGAGATTTTTCAACCTACATCATGCAGCCGAAGAAATTCAAAGTTTTTAACCGAGAACTTCCCACCTAGCCACAATGTGCAATTAGCACCTCTATGCCATCCGATGTCCAGATCTCGGAGATTCATATTAGGTTTAAGACTTGCAAAAGCATGCTCTTTTACAAAATACATATCGTGTCCATAAGCACCGCACGACAATATTGGCTTCCCTAAGTTGATTTTGTGTATCAATTTTGCTTCATCTGTTTCTTACTTCCGCTCAACATTCTCACTATTATGAATTCTCGATACCCCCACCAAGCCCTACCAACGGTCCTATTTACCAATAAAATAAAATCACTCTTGGCCTCGTCTGCCCACATATATCCACAATATATATGTGGATTGAAATTAAAAATAATAAAATATTGATAAACTCCATTATATTCCACATCCGTGACATCTTGTCGACTAGTCCTATCCTATCGCATTTCACGACCCTACCTCTAGATGAGGATTATTTCATAATGATAGTAGATCCGTGTTAAACCTCCAACAATTTATACTAATTTGTTATACTTGTTGACAATTACGATTAAGATAAATCTAAATCATATTTTATAGCAACAATTTTTTTTCTAAGCATTGCCACTTGAAAACGTTTTATGTAAACCAAATTATCATAAATGCAAAAAATAATTTGGTCAAATTGCTGCATGCACTTGTAAACTTGTGAGACTCACATGAACTATATTGTCTTATACTCTGTGTGTGTGTGTTGTCGTATCATACAATATCATGCTAGAGAGTTCTAAATATATACGGTCAAATATATATTGTTACGGAGGGTTCTAGTTCGATGTATAGTGAAATTAGGAGGTAAAACAATTCTATTATTCGTGCA